CCTTCTTAACCACTCTCCTCCTAGGAAAAGAGAAGAGATACCAGGGAAACCAGCTTAGGAGGAAAAAAAAACAACCAAAAACCAGTTGGAGAAAAAAGTCCTGGAAGTCTGTGCTGAGAGGGAGTGGAGCTGACAGTAGCTTTAGCTTTTAGCTTGTTTGAAGACAGGGTTTCTCTGTGTAATCCTGGCTGTCTTGAAACTCTTTAAACTAGGCTAGCCTCAAATTCAGCGTGCTCTTACCGCCTCTGCCCCCCCCCTGAAGTATTGGAATTAAAGGTGTAAGCCACCATCACCCCAGCAATGCTAGCTTTTAATTGTTGAAATATCTAGAATAATACCACCAATTTTCACCTTTGCTTTGCTAAGTCTTAGCATCCAGAGGAGACTGCTCTAAAACAATGAGGCTGAGGAATGGCCGTGAGTGACTGACTGTGGTCCCATGCTGGGAACCTAATTCAGTGAAGGGGAAGAGGGGAGCTTGGCTTTGTTCAGAAGGCTGAGTAAGTGGTTTAGAGAGGACTGTACTCAGTGGGGGGGTGGGGGGGCGGTGGTGGTGCAAGCCTTTAATCCCAATACCTGGTCTACAGAGCTAGTGCCAGGACAGGCTTCAAAACTACAGGGGAAACACTGTCTCAAAAAAACATAAATAAATAAACAAGTAAGTAAGTAAATATATAAATAAAAGGACTGTACTCTGATTCTGGTAGGAGCGGGAAGGACTCAGGATTGCAGACACAGGTTGGAGAGCTATCAGGAAGTGGGCATTTAGGGCCGGCGGGGTGGCTCATCAGGTAAAGGCAATTGCCGCAAAGCTTGACCACCTGAGTTTGATCCACAAGGCCCACATGGTGCAAGGAGAGAGCTGAAGCCTGTAAGTTGTCCTCTGATCTCTACACGAACTCTGGCATGTGCTCCCCCAATGAGTAATTGCAATTAAGGGGGGGGGGGGGGGGAGAAGTGAGTGTTTTACCTGCACGCATGCAAATACATTACACGCTTGCAGGGACAGATAAGGCCAGTAGAGGGCGTCAGATCCTCTGGGAGCAGAGGTACAGATAGTTATGAATCACCATGTGTTCCAAGCACTCTTAAACACTGAGCCAACTCTCCATCCCCCAATAAATGTATATTTTGTTTACCTAATTTTTTATTTTTTGAAGCAGATCTCTCTATATAACCCTAGCTTTCCTGGAACTCATTATGTAGACCAGGCTGACCTCAAACTCACAAAGCTCCATTTGCCTGTGCCCTGAGTGCGGGGAGTAAAGGTGTGTACAACTACACACACTAATGTAATATAGCTAATAAATATAAATTTACTAAATTAAAGAGAAAGTCATTGCCAAAGCCAGAAAATAAATAAAATGACCTACAAGTGATAGAACACAGCCCTGGAGATGTTAGGCATACTGAGGTTGGTGTAGGGCGAGCCATAGGAAGAGAGACAGAAAGGTTAGAGAGAGAGAGCTGGGCTGTGGAAAGGGTGAATGGCAATGAAGACCAGTTACTCAGGAGACTGGGGTAGGGAGGTCTAAAATTCAAAGCCTACCTAAGTTGTAGAAGGAGTTAAAGTCCAGCCTGAGCAACTTAATGAGACTCTGTCTCCATGAACAACAGCAACAACAACAAAAGTGTAAAAAATGGGTAAGAAAGTCAGAGAATCTAGCTGAGTGAGAGAGGTAGCCAGGACCACCAAAAAAGTAAATAAGTCATCGAAAAATGTCCTGGGCGGGGGAAAGCCTCTGCACCCAGGAAGCAGAAGTAGGTGGGTTTCTGAGTTCAAGGTCAGACTAACCTACTCTGTAAGACCTTTTCTCAAAACAACAAAAGCAAGCTGGAAACCAACCAACTAAACAATTTAAGAGGCCGGGTGGTGGTGGCGCACGCCTTTAATCCCAGCACTCGGGAGGCAGAGGCAGGCGGATCTCTGTGAGTTCGAGGCCAGCCTGGTCTACAAAGGGAGTTCCAGGACAGGCTCCAAAGCTACAGAGAAACCCTGTCTCGAAAAACAAAACAAAAAAAAATTTAAGATCCTGGGTTATAGCTCAATGGTAGACCAACATCTACAAGGTCCAGCACCACAACCCTTCTTTATTTTATCAAAAACATTTTTAAAACTGGTGGTGGCGCGCACACCTTTAATCCTAGCACTTGGGAGGCAGAGGAAGACAGGATCTCTGTTAGAGGCCAGTTTGTCCTACAGATTAAATTCCAGGTCAGTCAGGACTACACAGTGAAACTCTGTCTTTAAAAACCAAAAACAACCGGCAGTAATGGTGCACACCTTTAATCCCAGCACTCTGGAGGCAGAAACAAGCAGATCTTTGTGAGTTCGAGGCCAGCCTGGTCTGCAGGGAGAATTCCAGGACAGTCTCCAAAGCTACAGAAAAACCCTGTCTCACTAAACATAACAAAATAATAAAAATATTTCAGACTGGGGGCTGGAGAGATGGCTCAGAGGTTAAGAGCACTGGCTGCTCTTCCAGAGGTCCTGAGTTCAATTCCCAGCAACCACATGGTGGCTCACAACCATCTGTACTGAGATCTGGTGCCCTCCTCTGGCGTGCAGGCATACATTGAGGCAGAATGTTGTATACATAATAAATAAATAAATCTTTAAAAAAATATTTCAGACTTTATTTTATGAGTGTTTTGATTACATGTGTGTACCATGCAGTTGCTTAGTGCCCAAAGAGGCCAGAAAAAAGGCATCAGACTCCTTGGAACTGGAATTACAGATGGTTGTGGACTATTGTATGTGCTGGGAACTCAACCCAGGTCCTCTGCATGAGCAGCTAGTGCTCTTAACCCAAACCAACTCTCCAGTCCCCAAAACCCAGTGCTTCGTGAAAGACAGCCAAGCTTTTTGCCAACTGAGCTACTCTCTGACCTTTGCCAGATTCTCAATTTTTCTTTTTTGAAACAAGAGTTTTTCTGTGTAGCCTTGGATGTACTGGAACTCGCTCTGTAGACCAGGCTGGTCTCAAACTCACAGATATCTGCCTGCCTCTGCTTCCTGAGTACTAACTGGGATTAAAGGCGCGTGCCACCACGGCCGGACTCAGTTTTTAAATTTTATTGGAAAAGGGCTCACCTCTTCTTGTGGGCTTCCTCTCCCTTCACACTCGGACTCAATTCGGTCCACACCTGAACTCCTCCACACCTTTCACGCCTGGTGATTCTCCTGTTGCCCCAGTGAGATCTGATTACTCTCCCCAGCCGGTATCTCTTTGAGGTTAGGGCTCGACACTGGAACACCGTATTTATTGTAAGGAAGGAGTGGTCATTTCTGTGTACCTTACTGACTCACTGGCGATTTGTTTTCTTGTCTCTCTCTTCTCTTTTTCTGTTCACTATACCTGTTGGTCTAGAAATCACAATCCTCAACTCTGAACGGACCAGAGGGTTTGAGTTTGCTGATGGAATTCTCCTTTGGAATTGTGGTTAGGTGGACTCCGGGAGCGGCCAGCAGAGGGCGCGCTGGGACAGGGAGCGACCACACTGGCCATCGGCGTAGCGGACAGTAGCACCGCCCGAGCGCACTTGCGGAGTGGGGTCCAGTGCGGTCGCGCACCCGTGCTACTTCCCGGGGGAGGGGGGTGCTTTACCAGATAAAATTGAACTCTGTAAAGTGTCGTCCCTGTCCTCCCATGTGGAGGAGGCGGCCCTCGAAAGACTGACTTAGAGCCGTTTGCAGACTGGAAATTAACACTTATTGAATAAATTGATCGGTGGTGCGATGTTCCAGATGTCAGGGATTACTACAAAATTTCCTATTGCTGTGGCGTCTTACTGCCTACTGTGTGTTCGTTCAGACGATTAAAAGAAATAAACGGTCAAAAAACACTGCATATGTTTAAGAAATGTCACGGTAAGAGAGGATAGTTGATACTTGAAGAGACCCATCCTTCTCAACAAAGTAAATTCTAAGCAACTGCATGTACAAAGCCCAGGTGGCCCAGGGGCCCTTCGATCGCGGACCTAAGAAAATCTGAAAGTACTAGGTGCGACACGTCAAAACTGTGGGAGCGAGCGGGTCAGACGGCCCGAGTTACCCAGAAGAGGCTTAAGGGACCGTCCTGTAGCAAAAATAACTTGCCTTTTGGCTTACTTGTTTTTAACAAGTCCTGCCTGGTCTCAAACTAGTGACAATCTTCCAACCCCAGCCTTCAGAGTGCTGGAATTATGGGTGTGATCTACCATACTCAACCTAAGAAGAAGGTATCTTAGGGTGTTGGTTACATGTATGGTTACATTTACTAAAACTGTGCTTTGTTTCTCTCTCCTGGAGACATTGTCTCTCACTGTAGCCAAACAGTCCTGGAATTCACTATATGACGCAGGCTGACTTTTAACTCCAGGCAATGCTGCACTTTCGGGAGTGGAGAGCAAGAGGATCAGGAGTTCAGAGCCAGGCTGTGCAACTGAGACGTTGTTTCAAAAAGCCCTAAAACCCTAAAAACGAGGGGCTTCTGCTTGTGAAAACCACCGCGCTTGTTCAGGAGTGTGCGGGGAGGGTCTGTGCGGTCGGGGCAGCAGAGTCCAGGCACCGACCGTCTGAAGGGTAGAGGCCAGCGGAACCCTCGCTGCAGAAACGCGGCTACAGACCGCTACCCCCACCCGGGTCGTCAGGGGCAACCTGGGAGGCTCGCCCGGACCCTGCTGGCGCGCACCTGCCAGGTGGCCGTTGGGGCGCCACCAGCCGGTTTGATTTCCCGCGGCCGGTGGAAAGGGGCGGAAGGGGGAGGGGAAAGGAGTCGCTGGCCAATGGGCTGGGCCGAGCGCGCCACGTGACGGCGGGGAGGCGGGGCCCAGGTGCACTTACGGAGTTGCGGGCGGGGGCCGCCGCTTCGGAGCTGAGACCGGGAGGCGGGGCCGGCGTGCGGGCCTGGGGGGCTGCGCGGCCGGGATTGGCCTGTGGCCGGGAGGCGGGACCTGAGCGAGCCGCTACAGCCAGCTGCGATTGGCCTCGGCTCCGGGCCCGCGGCAGGCGTGCGGGCGAGCCTCGGGGCGCGAGGACCGAGCCGGGTGGCCGGTCCGCGAGCCGGGGGGGAGGGGCCGGGGCGGTGGTGGTGGCAGCGGCGGAGGAGGCGGTGGCGGCGGGGGCCGGTACTGGACCCGGCGGGATGAGCGAGGCGGAGGCGGCAGTGGTGGCGACAGCGGCCCCCGCGGCGACGGTGCCCGCGACGGCGGCAGGGGTGGTAGCGGTGGTAGTACCCGTGCCCGCGGGAGAGCCGCAGAAAGCAGGCGGCGGGGCGGGCGGCGGGGGCGGAGCCGCCTCTGGCCCCGCTGCTGGGACCCCCTCAGTGCCCGGCCCTCGCACCCCTGGCAACCCGGCGACGGCGGCTTCGGGGACTCCCGCGCCCCCGGTCCGGAGTCAGGCGGACAAGCCGGTGCTGGGTGAGGGGGGGGCACGCGCTAGGGGGGCTCTGAGGGTCGGCGGGCTGGGGGAGGGGTAGCAGGGTTTGGCAAGCCGAAGGTAGGCCTGGCCCAAAGGACTAACCGGTCCGGGAGCTGCCGAACAAACTTCAGTGGATTCCCCTGGAGGGAAATCTTGCTGTACCTTCCTGAGCGGGAGGGCGGGGCGGGCAGGTCCAGCTAGGGCCTTGGGTGGGAAAATACAGCCTCAGGGCCTGGCCCCGCCCCGGTTAGTTGGAGACTTGGTGTAGCTGACTCTGGTTCTTATTAGGTAAACCTCTGAGTTTGGGGGAGCAGGTGCAGTGGGACCCTTACATTTGGGAGGGCTAGAAGGGCTGTAGAGTTTTGACCCTCAGGGTGGACCAGGTGAGTACCTGGTTCTAGGTGAAGGACCTGAACTTTATAGGATGTGAGGAGCGTGGGTTTGAACGTCTGAATCCCCTCCCTGTGTGAGGGATTCCAAATAGTAGAACCCGGGTGAGAACACTTTGACGCTCCCAGTGAGATCTGATGAGTCGAAACTTAATAGGGAGGCAGGTTAGATTTTTAGCTTAGTTTCTCTCAAAATTCAGCCCAACTCCGTATCTTCCCCCATCTTACTGTCCCCACTGCATCTCTGCCTGGCAGCAATCCAAGTCCTGGGCACTGTCAAATGGTTCAACGTCCGGAATGGTTACGGATTCATCAACAGGTATCCAAAGAACCCAGGAGGGGGAGGAACGGGTGTCTTTTTGTGAGCTGGCCTGTGGGTTTGGACACATTATTTCATCTCTACCCCTGCCAAGGCACATGGTTGTGATGTCCAGCTGAGGCTGGTTGAGAGTCTTTAACCACAGCACTAATGTGTGCTTACTGGCAAGATGAAGCTGCTGCATCCGCATCTTCAAGGGCAGCAGGGGATTAATGATCCAGGAACTTGGCAAACCTGACCCTGACCTTCCCAGCTCCTCTCTCTCACCTTCTGGAGTTGCTTCATTATTTTTAGCTTGCTCTGTGCCTTTGGGGTAGAATGTTTGGGGCTCCTGCTTGGAGCCCTCACTGGTTTCCTGGTTAAGGGCAACACTCCCGGCACCTATACAAATTCTCTAAAGAGCTGTGGCTCATTTGAACCAGCTCCCCCGCGTCCACCTGATGGAACTGAAGCTGGGGCAGGGAGAGTGCCTGCCCAGCCATAGACTACTGCTCTTCTTCAGTTGGCAGCCACACCTCTCTAAATTGTGGCAGGTCTCCCCTACTGTGGCCTGCCCCAGCCCAGGCACCCTGCCCAGCCAAGTCCTCCTGGGAGCCTCAGTTCCCTCTTTGCAGGCTGACCTTTGTGCAGACCCACGGTCTTTAAAGCTAGAACATTTGCTCTGGGGAAGGCGGTTTCCTGCAAGGACGCCTCCTGCTCCCTGTCCTGGGATTAAAGAAGTCACAGGCAGGATGGTGGTGAAGAATGGGAGCGTGTCTTTTCATCCTGTTCAGTGTGTGGAGGGCACTTGTGGCTCACCTCCAGGCTGAGGGTAAAGAGAAGACAGTGCCGGTGCAGCTGTTGGGGACTGCACCTGTGTGTGCCTTGCTCTCTCCTTTGAGCCGGGTGCCCTGGCCCTGCTTTCTCCCTCTCTGATCCTAGAAGGAAGGAGCCTGTGGAATTTTCCAACCCCCAAGAGGGGTTAAGGGGAGGAGGGGACATTGGCCAGGGACAGTTACACCTGGCACCAGCAGGTTCCGAGGTGCCTCTGGGGTAGAAGGTGAGGCTCTCCTGGTTTCTTGAAGGTGCCTTTGTGGCCTCCTCCTACCTTTTCCTTATGAAGTCCTAGTTCTTGCTGGGGATTTGCAGCATGTTCTCTTTGCACCAGCTTTCGGGGACCCTGCTGCTTGCTCTTTCCCAGGGCCCCAGCATACCCCCAGGAACTGAAACAGTGGAGAGGATGGGCCCATCTTGGGAATGGGCACCTAGGGAGGCCTCAGTGGAACTGAGTGCCTCACCGTCACCCCCTTAACTACCCATCCTGTTCTGCAGGAATGACACCAAGGAGGATGTCTTTGTTCACCAGGTAAGAGCTAGGTTGGCTTTCTGAGGGGAGGCACTGGCCCTCTCTGTGGAAGCCTTTCCCACAACCTCTAGCTGCACACGATATGTTTCTCTGGCTGTTAAACTTCACAACAGCCTGCCCATGAGGAATAGCCGGCCTCCCATCCACCTCAGGTGCCTGTATGAACCACCATTAGCCCCACTTCCGTTGAGTGGCTGAACAGCTGTCAGAGTTGTGCATGTTGCCCTCCGGGCATGGCATGCCCACCACCTCCTGGGACCTGTTAACACCACAGGAAGGAATCAGGCAGTTTTCCGAGGGCAAGGCCAGAGACACTTGGGTACAGTGAATCTCAAAGTGTGTTCCCTGCACCGGCAGGCAGCAGCATCACCTGAATTCTCAGGCCCTGCTCAAGGCACGGAATTGATGAGCCTTGGGGCTGGGTGCTCTGTTGTAACGCGCTCCCAGGTGATTCTGCTCCTGGCTAGTTTGAGAACCACTGCTGTGGTGGCGAGTGCTCGGTGGGATCCAGGTAAGGAGCAACTTACGACATTTCAGCCTTTGTTTTGCTTTTGAGTTTCTACTGCCTCCATTTTTTGAAGCCCCTGAGGGGTGAAGGGAAGGGAGGACATGTTGGGGACCGTGGAGACTTTACAGTGGATCCCTCAGACCTCTCGTTCATGACTTCCCTACTAACACGCTCACGTCTGTGCTGCGGGGCTGCGCTCAAGGCCCTGCCCCACTTTGAGTACTTTCCTGCTCTACGCTTCAGCCCTAGACTCCAGTAAAATGTCAGAGTGGAGTTGGGTGGAGGCTGAAGCTGGTGAGAGGTCCTGATCTCTGCCCTCACTTTTCTCATGACTTTCCCCCCAACTAGACAGCTATTAAAAGAAACAACCCCAGGAAGTTTCTGCGGAGTGTTGGAGATGGGGAGACCGTGGAGTTTGATGTCGTGGAAGGAGAGAAGGTTTGGGAGCTGCTGTGGGGTGAAGTTGGCCAGGACTGTGGGAGGGTGGCCTGGTTGTCAGCCTAGGCTTTGATCCTTCTGGGGCCAGCTCTGCCTCCTATTGTGGGGATGGGGCCTGTGCGCTCTCCTGGATGTTGTGGGATGTTAGGGCTGCTCTAGGACACGTCCTAAAGAACCTGTCCCTGCCACCAGCCAGTAACGTGGGTTTCTTCTCTCTAGTTCACCAAGCACTTCCGTGTGTGTTCTCTACATGGGACCCCAGCCCTAGCAGGACCCTCAGTCAGTCCTCTGGAGTGAAGGAGGGAGAGTGGCCCCTTCTATCTCTTCCTGTCCTGTCTTTACTCTGGGGGGGAATGTGGCAGTTATTTCTCAGGACAAGTTGTTTCTTCTCAGATGGGTACAAACTCCTGCTGCTGCCCCTTGGGGGAAGGGAGAAAGGAGTGATTTTGAGGGGTCACAGGATAGAGGACTTGGGCCAGAAGAAGGGGGACAGCAGTGATCTGGCAGGTTTGTAAGTGCGGTGTGCTTGTGACCAGGACAAGTTCTGATTACTCCTTCTTTGCCTCCCCAGGGTGCAGAAGCTGCTAATGTAACTGGGCCTGGGGGGGTGCCAGTGAAGGGCAGCCGCTATGCCCCCAATCGACGTAGGTTCCGCAGATTCATCCCCCGGCCTCGCCCGGCTGCCCCACCACCCATGGTGGCAGAGGCTCCCTCCGGTGGGACTGAACCTGGCAGTGAAGGGGAGCGGGCAGAGGACTCAGGGCAGCGACCTAGACGACGGCGCCCACCACCCTTCTTCTATCGAAGGCGGTTTGTGCGAGGCCCTCGGCCCCCTAACCAGCAGCAGCCCATAGAGGTGAGATGGAGCCAGCTGTGGAGTTGGCCAGTTGTGAGGGCGGAGACCTGAGAACTTAAGACTAGGAACAAGGAAAGATGACCTGGCCAAGGGACAGCAGGGGGCTCAATAGCTCACCTAGGCCTTGTCTATTCCCAGGGCTCCGATGGGGTAGAACCCAAGGAGACAGCCCCATTGGAGGGGGACCAACAGCAGGGAGATGAACGGGTGCCCCCACCCAGATTCCGGCCAAGGTACCGAAGGTAAGACTATACTGTATCTTCCCTTCAGGGTTCAGTGTTGGGCCCATGTAAAAGGACAAGAATTCTAAAAGTTCTAAGAGCCCGGGATAAGAAAACGGAATCCTGAGGGAAGGGAATCTACTACCCTGGGTGCACTGGTCCTGTCAGAGATTGTTTCTTTTCTAGGCCTTTCCGCCCTAGGCCACCCCAACAGCCTACCACAGAAGGTGGGGATGGCGAGACCAAGCCCAGTCAAGGCCCCACTGATGGCTCCCGGCCTGAGCCCCAGCGTCCACGAAACCGCCCCTACTTCCAGCGGCGTCGGCAGCAGCCCCCTGGCCCCCGGCAGCCTATAGCCGCAGAGGTGGGGTCTTAGTTGCCTGAAACTCAGTGTGGGAAAGGCCAAGATCAGTTGCGCTCTTTCTGTCCTTTTCCTTTGCTTCAAATTCAGTTCTTTGGCCCTGTGCTTCCCTTGTCCCTGCCTTCCTCCCCCCCCCCCCCCCCCGCTCCCATCAGCCTGCTTGGCCCCCACTGGCAGACAGTGCAATCACCAGGAAACCCCGGCACAGGCAGTCAAGCCCAGGTTGCCTTAAATGAATGCCCCGCTCCTGTCCCCAGCTATTGGGGTGTGAACTGTGGGAGTTGGTTGGAAGGGGCAGAAGAGGGAAGTTAAGAGAAAGTTGAAGCAGGTCGTGAACTGGTCTTAATTAGCCACTGCTGTCTTTAGACCTCAGCACCTATCAACAGTGGGGACCCCCCCACCACCATACTGGAGTGATTCCACCTCGGGACACCCAGAGCTACCATCTGGTGAGTTGCTGCTGACTAAGAAAGCCAGGGACTGGGTTCTGCTGTCATCCTTTATGACTTGTCTTTTTTCCCTCGTTCTTAGGTATCTGCCCATTTCCAACTGACTACCCAGCATCCCCCTCCCCCCTTTCCCATAATTCATGACATCAAAACATCAGCTTTTCCCTTGAGACTCAGGAGGGCCAAAGCAACAGCCTTTGGCTTTTTCTCTTTTCCCTCTCCCCTCCCAAGGGTTGCAGGAAGGGATCCGTCCTTACCGTTCAGAGGCACCACCTTCCTCCCTAAGTCAGGCTGAGAAGGACCAGCCGGCTCTTCACCTCCTCCTGCTTGTTTTTCTTTCCCACCCATTTATTTTTTGTTTCCCTTCGACCTCCTCCCAACACCTCTGAAGCCATTTTATGAACTGTCACGTGCCACCTGAGCCTCCAGTAAAAACAAAAGCAGGCTTTCTTGGTGTCTCAGTCTCTGCCTCTTTTCTGTTGGAGATGAGGAATCATCGGTGACTCACTTCTGGACCACGCGTGGGGTTAAGATGCGCGCGGACAATTCAGTTCTGACAAGAACTCTCATCGCTGAGAATCACACTTGGGTCTGTTAGCTGAGGGGGAGATCTCTGCAGTGCCTGGGTGCTTGTCAGTGTAGTTTATAAAACATTTACTGTGAGCCAGATGTACCCAACACTCAGGAAGCTGAGTCAGGAGGGTTCCTAATTCCAGGCTATCCTGGGCCGCATAGACTCTTTTGTCAGTGTTTTTAAAAAGTGGGGCATTTGGATTCAGGCCTGTAACCCCAGGACTCCAGGAGGCTGCGGCAAGAGGCTGACTACACGCACAAGGCCAGCCTGGCTGTATAGTAAGACCGTTTTTGCTGCTGGTCGGTTTTTTGAGACAGGGTCTTACTGTGTAGCCCTGGCTGTTCTGGAACTCACTCTGTAGACCAGGCTGGCCTTGAACTCAGAGATCTGCCAGCCTCTGCCTCCTCAGTGCTGGAATTAAAGGCGTGCACCACCACCACCCACCAAGACCCTATTTTTTTTTTAATGGGGTAATAGAAGTGGATATGAATAACTGACAGAATCTAGACTCTAGAGGCTTCTGAGCTCTTGAGCCAAAGCAGAACAAAGAGGAGTGAGGGCGACTTGTCTGTCTCACCCACCCTCCAGCTCCTCCATGACAGGACACTCATCTTCATACAGTGACTTTATGGATGAATCTCTATATACACATTTAATACAGCAGCCCTTGGGTTTCTGCTACCTACTCGTTCTTCAAAACATACAAAAATATCCAAAGGCTCCCTCCCAACCAGTGTTTATAGGCAGCCTTTCAAATCCCCTCTTGCCCTTAGTTGGTCAAAAGCTTTCAGGTCTAGCACCCTTCCTGAAGGGGAACAAGAAAGAGCTGGTACCCACACTTGGCAGCTGTGGGGAACAGGCTAGCACCCCAAGCCTAGAGACTGATGCTTGCTACTGCTCCTTGCCACATTCAGGTATATACTGTTGTGTTCCTTTGCCCTGGAAGGTGGAGCCCACAGAGACTGTGGAGAGACTAGACTTTGGGAGGGTGTGTCCTTTGCCCTGGTGGGGTCAAGACAGAACCCCCTTCACCCAGAGTCTATGTGGCAAGAATTCAGGGAAAGTGCCAAATTGTGGGCGGAGTCGGAGTTGGTAGGAAGTCGCTCATCTCAGATCCACCTCTGCTCCTGCTCATCCACTGAATTCAACCCAGCACCTCCCTCTGCATATCCACTTCTCTAAAAGGAGCAAAACTATTCTGGGGCTGAGTCTGGGTAGGGGCAGGAGGAAGGCAGAAGAGGAGAATAGCCCACTGGGTGGCCACAGCCTAGCCACAACACATAAATAATCCAAGTCACAGGAGGGGAATGAGGGGGTACATGAACCACCCTTCCCTCAGCTTCCCAGTTCTCCAGGCTGCAGTTTCTCCATCCTGGAGGTGATGGGAAAAGGGGGCTAAAGTGCTGCAGAGGAAAGGAGGGGCGTGGGTGGAGAGGGTGGCTCTCCCACCCTGCCCTGCCCCTCAGTCGTTCTCATCTGGCCCTAAGTATTCAAGCTCTGTACTGGGTTTCACCTCCTGCTCTAAGAGGGAAGGTGTCCGACGGAAGGCAGCTGAGATCTGGTCAAACGTCCGGCCTCTGGTTTCAGGCACTTTTAGGAAGGTGAAGGCGAAGAAGCCAAGCAGGAGGACGGCAAATAGAAGGAAGACGTAGGGACCCATAGCATCCTGGGACAGTCGGAGAAAGAGGTGTTGACGACAGAGGGTGGGAAGCAAGAAGCTAAAGACTAATAGGGAGCTGGGGCTACTTCAAGGAGCAGGTGACTCCTTCAAGAGATACCAGAAATGACCAGAAATTAAAATTTACATGGAAAAACCCCTTTAGCTTTTCACCCTTTGCTATCCTAAGAGCGTACACTTGGAGTAGATTCCTAAACCACTTATAGCATTACTAGAAAGTTTATCATTTTATTTCTGGTCTAAATTATACCACTGTTTATTTTTTTAAAAGATAACTGAAAAAAAAAATCTGCTGCTGGCCCATCTATTCCTACTTGTTTGACTCTGGTGTAGTTCCATCCAGAAACTACCTGTGAGCCTGGGAGTCCCTGACTGGACAGCGCGGGAACTAGGGGTGGGTTGCCTCCCCTCTGGCCACTGGTAATGGGAAACTGGGCAAAGGGTCGGGAACCTACCGCAACATACTGGAAACCCATGCCAACAATGAAGTTACAGGTCCAGTTGGAGAAACCAGCTACAGCCATGGCTGCTGGGCGGGGTCCCTGGCTGAAGAGCTCGGCCACAATGAACCAGGGGATGGGGCCGGGGCCGATCTCAAAGAAGGCCACAAAGCCAAATATGGCCAAGATGGAGACATAGCTCATGGCTGGAACCCGTTCCTAGAGACCAGGAAAGAAGAGTAGAAAATTTGAACCTGGCCTCTCTAGAGAGATCTCTCTCCTCTTGCCCTAGGCCCAGAGAACTGAAATCTCCTTTCCAGGGCTTGTTGGGTAGAGGTTGCCATTCTAGGCTAGAGCAGGCCCTGGAGCACCCCCTCTTCACCCACTTTTCAGACGGGCCTGGAACTTATAAGTCTTTCACCACAGCCTCCCAAATGTTGAGCTGCTGTGGAGCGTGTCTGAGTGCTGCCATTTTATTGGCTGCCTCAGATGGTTTCCAGGTGGAGATTGTCCTGTAATGGTTGATTCCCAGCTTGGCTCTGAAGATGTTTCTTTGGGAATTATGGGTCCTGAGGCTTCACAGGGACTGCTAGACTTGTGCTATAGCTAGGCCCTGGTGTGGCCAGGGTACCTCAGAAGCTGACCAGACTCTAGAACCAAGCTCCCGTGGTCCCAGCACGCAGTCCCATAGCCCCATGAGGCTATCCCCATGGGTTGGACCGCTGTGTCCTCACCAGCAGGAGCAGAGCCACTGTCATCAAGATGGCGCAGCCACACATGCCTGCCAGGCCTAGGAGATGGAGCGTCCGTCGCCCAGCACGTTCTACCAAGAGCACCTGTTGGGGTGGGGGTGGGGAGCTGGTCAGTTGGGAAAAAACAAGAGTAGGATCTCCAAGGCACCCAGGGCTAAAAACCTAGTGATGTGGCCGCTCCACAGGCAAACAGTTACCGAGACCAACGTGAAGACCGTGTTGACCACACCAGCTCCTATGGTGGCGTAGGCTGGCTGTCCTACGCCAGCTGACTCGAAGATGCTGGTTGAATAGTAGAAAACCTAGAAGTGAGGGAGCAGGAAGGACCATGGCAGGGATGTCTGGCCCTTTCCAACCACACCAAACTGGACTGAGCCTGAATGCTGATGGAGGAGATGGCTTATTCCCTTCTCCCTTTCTCCAAATTGCTACCTGACCTACTGTCTGCCTGGGTCTCCATACGTACAGCATTGATGCCGGAGAGCTGCTGGCTCAGTTGTAGCACAACCGCAATGATGAGAGGCTGCCGGTGGGTGCGGCTGCCCAGGAGCTGGGGCAGAGACATGGGCCGCTCTCGTTCCAACTTCCGCTTCTCATCCTTCAGCTCAGCCAGTGCATCAGACACATCAGCCCAGCCTGTTAGACGCTTCAGACCTGGGGGTGGGGAATGTCAGGCCTTATGGAGCCTGAGAGGAGGAGGGGTACTAGCAAGATGGATGGGATGGAGGTGTGAGCCTGGGCTATATGCAAGGTGAGAGCTCACTCTTTCGGGCAGGCCCCTCCAAGTTCCGGATGATGTAGAGGTATCTGGGGCTCTCAGGACAGAAGGGCAACAGAATCAGCTGTAGGAGGGCAGGAAGTACTGTGATAGCCAAAAGCAGTGGCCACAGGGTAGCTGTGCCCAGCATAGACTCCAAGCCCAACACCTGTGGGAGAAGGTAGGAAAGATAGAAAGGTGTCTTTACTCCTTCCTGCTCTACTATGGATGTCCAATCCAGCTCCTCCTCTTAACTCCTCTCAAGGCCAGGCCTTTACCTGGGCAATTAGAATGCCAATGACGATGGCCAATTGGTTGAGTGTTCCCAAGGCACCCCGAAGATGAGTGGGGGCGATTTCTCCCACATACATAGGCACCAAGCCTGACGTTAGCCCTGGGCAGAAGGAAGAAAAGAGGGCTTACGGAAGCCCATATACGATCGAGGACAGCAGGGGCAGGGGCACAACAGCGCCATCGCACCCACGGGTACCTGAGTAGGCGCCGATGAGGAAGCGGCCGAGAATGAGGATCTCATAGGAGGCAGCGGCGTTGGCTAGGCCCATGAGGGTGCCCCCCAGCACTGCCAAGACATTATTGGCCAGCATAGCCCTTTTCCTGGCAGGCACACAAGGAGGAGGGCTGGTCAGGGCACCCATGCTATGGCCCTCCTTCCTACCTCCCCACCCCTGCTCTCCAGCTCCATACCTTCCCAACCACTGAGAAATAATGCCAACGAGGAAGGAAGAAATCATGCCTCCCACAGAAAAGATGGCCACGGAGAGAGCCCAGAGTGTAGTAAGGGTGCCTTGTGGGATGGAATTGGGTCCCTCAGGACCCTGCCTCCCCAGCCATGTCGCATTGTAGCTCTGTTCAATCACCTGGGGGACGACATGGGAGTGAATCTAGAGACCTCTTTCGAGTGCTCACCCCAACAGCTGTACCATCTCTCACCTTCTGTGGGGCATTGATGACCCCAATGTTGTAGCCAAACTGAAGGGAGCCGAGCACAGCCGAGAACACAGCGAGGACTAGAGTCCCAGTCACCCTCTGCCGAGGGGGTTCCCCATCCTGGACAGATGGACAGACAGAAACAAAGGGAAGCGTGTCACATAAAATCCCGTTTGGCTTCCTTCAGGGGCCCAGGCCCAGCTGGAGCATGAAGATCCTGGGCTCCATCCAACAGACTGGGTGAGAGAAAGTGGGCCATATTAGGAATTGTTCAAAGATTCCACTGTAAACAACTCAACAGGAACCTGGGCATGTAGGAAAAACGCAAGTCTGGGGCCACACTACAGGCAAACCTCAGAATTCCCCTGTGACCTTGAGGCAGGCTTAGATTCGTGTGACCTTGGGTAAGTCACTTCCCCACTCTGAAGGGAACCTGAGTTTCCTCTTTTGTGAGGTGATACTGCCTCCCTGGACTACCTGTCAGTCTGTGAAAAGACTGTAAAAGCTAAAATCGGCTGTTAATAATATCACAGGTATTGCCTGCTTTTATAAACTGTTAGGTTTAGTATTAGTATCAGCCCTAATCCTCATCTCTTCCTTCTGGAAGTTCTCTCAGCCGGCTCCAGCGGGCCCTCAACAGGCCCAAGAACGGCCATTCCAGGAAGGGCATCTGGGTCATTGCTTTTAAAATCTCGGCCTAACCTTCCCTCAACTCCTAAGCTGGGACCAAGGACCAGGGGATATAACGGGATTTTAGCAGGGAGAGAGAGCCATGCCCAAGGGAAGAGGCAGGCTTGGTGGTGTGAGGGGCGGTGGCAGTGGTGACTGCTGCTGGCGGCACAGTCTGTCTCCAAGAGGAAACCTGAGCTGGGGGGTAGGGTGGGGGCTGACACTCCCCTCTGCCCCTCCACCCACCGCAAGGCCAAGAGAAAGTTCAGCCTCCTGGAGGAGCGCCAGGAGTGGGGGTGGGGCCCCCGAAGTGCCTCGGTCCCAGAAACCCTGTGAGTCTGAACAGACCCGCAGCTCTGGGAGGGTGAGACTCCGGATCTGCCTTCCCAAGTAGAGGTGAGGGCAGGAAGCCACTCAGTGCTGCGCACAGTAAGACAGGAGACAAACTCTGGATTCGTCGCAGCCTGGGCGCGTGAAGAGCCCTTCGGACCCACTCTGTCTCATGGAGGGATTGGAATCTGACAGTCACGGGTTGTCTAGGCTGAGTATAAATAGCCAGCCCCCCATTTCCAACCCCTGCGCCTGCGCAGGAACCGCCTCCTAGCTGACCCCAACCTCGACCCCAGCCCAAGAAAAGCCGGACCCGAGTCCCCGATTTGCCCCCGAATGTTGAACCTTACTTCAGAGCCGATCTGCTGGAAACCCGACGGCATCTTGTTTTAAAAGAACTGAAGACTCGGGAGCTGCAGTAAGAAAAAGCGAATAGGGTGTCTGGCCCCGGCCGGATGAGCAGAAGGCGAACCCTGGCGTCCCGAAGTAATGTGCACAGGGCGCGTCTGGTGGGACCCACTGCCACAACCAAGGAGCCGGAGAGCACCAGGGCTCTCCGGGATCTAGTGAGAACCGCTTGGTGGGGAGAAGATGCAGGGAACTGAAGCCACCTCCTCACTCCCGCCCCGCCATGGGCCACGCCCCTCACAACACCCATTGGCCAGGAGCCCGCACACCCCAAAAGGCCACTCCCCCACCTCTAGCCTAGTGTTGTGGGGAGACACGCCCCTATGGTTCCCGCCAGCCTCCGAGTTTTCAAAGTAGGGTTCTTGGAACAAAAGGCTCCTCCCGCCAGCCAAAACTCTGGACTGCGACATTTCTTAGAGTTGAGTGCAGCTGGTCCCCCTGTGAGGTCGAAGAGGAGGGCATGGGCTAAGGTGCTTTTGCCAGGGTACCGGGTAACTCCAGCAGGGTGACACAGAGCGCGCGGGGGTGTGTGTGTCAGAAACAATGCCCCGAAGTAACCCGGAGTGGCTATTTTTAGATCTCAAGTTAGACTTCGCCAAATGTCAGGTCCCGGGTGTCCCAGCCTGTCCCGGGCGGGGGAGGGCAAGGGAGATGGAGCCTTAAAGGGTCCGCGACATGCCTCCCACGAGGGGATGACCCAAGGGACCAATAGCTTCCGTTCCCAGTGTGTCTGGGGACCGAACTTGGTCGCCTTTTCTTTCCACGCATCCCTGAGCGAGGCGCTGCCTACTGGCCCGTCCCCTCCATACATTCCCTACCTTGGTTTTTGGAGGGGACCCAAGGGACAGGTGCTCACGCCAGCCACACCACCCTCCCTGAAGTCCTTGAGCCTCCAGGCATGTGCTGGCCGCGTGGGTGACATGCTTTCCAGAGTCAGCTCCTGTTTTGGGTCTCCAGCTGAGAGGGCATGACCTAGGGACGTCCAGGGAGAGAAGTACCAGACCGCGAAGAGAAAGCGCGATTCAGAAAACGCGCCTGAGAAGTGCAAGGCTGTAGCGCCACCTAGAGGGAGAGCAAGGAACCTCAGTGGGTTAGACGAAGGTAACTAGTCTCGGGGCTAGGGTCTCTTCTATTAATAGTTCCCCTAAGATTTCATTAACTTACAATCCAACCCTCTCTGGAGCGTCAGACCCATGTGTCTAGCTACAGCCTGACTGGTGCAGTCCATAAGACAAATATATACAAACATGGACGTCCTCCTAATTTCCTTACCCCAATGAAGTTCACCTCCATGCTGGAGGTTGGGATCTTCCCAGCATTGGTGTTTTGAGCTCCTTCCTCCCTTGCACGTTTGGTTTTCTCCCCCTGTACCTCTACCACTTTAGTCCAGACTATCGTGACATGACTGCTTTCCCCTGCTTCCCTCTTCCCTTAAAAGGAGGGCACAGGGGCTGGAGAGATGGCTAGGCAGCAAAGAGCACTTGCTGCCCTTGCAGACTCAGGCTCCCAGCACTCACGTGGATGCTACAGCTGTTCTAGAGGGCCTTACAACCTCTTCTGGATTCAGTTCTAGAGGGCCCCACAACCTCTTCTGGATTCAGTTCTAGATGGCCCTACAACCTCTTCTGGATTCAGTTCTAGAGGGCCCCACAACCTCTTCTGGATTCAGTTCTAGAGGGCCCTACAACCTCTTCTGGATTCAGTTCTAGAGGGCCCCACGACCTCTTCTGGATTCAGTTCTAGAGGGTCCTACAACCTCTTCTGGATTCGATAGGCCCCAGGTACACATGTGGTACACAGATATACATTCAGGCAAAACATTTATTCACAACAATGATAAAATTAAATTAAAAATAAAAGGAGGTTAGACTGCTGGGTAGTGGTGTACATGCCTTTGATCCCAGCACTCAGGAGGCAGAGACATCTCTAAGTTTGAGGCCAGCCTGGTTCTCAGAGTGAGTTCTAGGGCAGCCAGGGCTACACAGAGAAACCCTGTCTTGGAGGAGGAGGAAAGGAAGAAAGGAAGAAAGGAAGGAAGGAAGGAAGGAAAGAAGGAAGGAAGGAAGAGAAAGGAGGGTGGAGTACAATTTTTAATACTTTTTTGTTTCTTTTCTTTTCTTTTCTTTTCTTTTCCGAGTTTCCAAGACAGGATTTCTCTATGTAGCCCTAGCTGTCCTGGAACTTGCTTTGTAGACCAGGCTGGCCTCGGCCTCGTGAGTGCTGAGATTAACGGCATGTGCTAGAGTTTCAATACCATATGTTTTATTTTTGAGACAGTCTCTGTACCTGAAGCTGACCTCGAACTCACTATGCAGTACAAGCTGGCCTCCAACTGGCTGCTTACCCTGTCTTCTGAGTGTCGGGACTGTGGATCAGAACTAACTCCTGCCAAAAGTCACCGTCTTGTTGTCCGATGGTCAGATCCTCCTTGCCTTCCTTCATCCCCTCCTCTTCTTTCTCTCCATTCTCTTCTTCCTCCCTGTTCTACTTTCCCCTCTTTTCTACCCATCTTTCCCTCCTCATACTGGCTTAGAACTTACTTTGTCTGCTAGTCTGATCTTGCATTTGGGATACTTTGGCCTCGGCCTCTGAGTTCTGGGATTACACTTGGTGCTTTTGCCTGTCCCTGCACGCTGGGAGACCAGAAGACCTCCTGTTCATTTTTCAAAACAAGTGTGTCTTGAGACTGAAGAGATGGCCTCAGGAGTTAAGAACACTTGTCCTTGCAGAAGACCCAGGTTCAATCCCAGCACCCACACAATGACTCAACCTTTTGTGACTTCAGCTTCAGGCGATCTGACGCCCTCTTCTGACTCTCTCGGGCACCCATGTGAGTGTTTACTCATATAAAATAAAATTTAAAAATCTAAAATAAATTAAATTTTTTAAAAGCAAACTTTCCTTCTGTGAGAAGATTTCTTGGCCTTCTTGCTGACAGTCAGATGTTCTCTCTCAGAGTCGATTCATTATCGTGTCTGCTCTCTGCAATTCAGTCCCAGGGCTGATGGTCATCTTATTTATGCATCCAACTTAGAACAAGGTGCCAAGGGACAGGAGAGAATAAGAGGGAGGCTCGGACTGGGCTGAGGTGAAAGCAGTGTAGATGGTACAGGGTTGGAAGCTGGTGCCCTAGGTCCTGCTGTGCCGTCCTGCCGTGGTCTATTCCTGCTCTCATTTGAATGTTTCTCAGGTATCACAGGTGGTTTTTATTTTCTTTGGCAGGTGTGTGGTGGGGGAGGGGCAGGGAATGGACTGTGGCAGCAGAGATCAGAAGAGGCATCATATCTCCCAGAGCTGGAGTAGGGCAGGCAGGTGGCAGGCAGGTGTGAGTTCCCTGATGTGTGGTTGCTGGGAAGTGAACTTGGGTCATCTGGAAGAGCAGCAAGCACTCCTAAGTGCTAAGTTATCTCTCCAGCCTTGGGGTTTAAATGCATAGAAAATGGAATCAGAAAGCCGGGCAGTGGTGGTGCACACCATTGTTTCCAGGACTCAGGAGGCAAAGGCAGGCAGACCTCTCTGCGTTTGAAGCCAGCCTATGGAGGTATAAAGCTGGTTCCAGATGTAAGGTCCTAGCCACCAAATGTGCTAACCTGAGTTCAGTCACAAGGACCTGTGCTGTAGAAGGAAAGAACTGACTGCCAACAGTTGTCCTCTGATCTCCAGCGGTACACCCACAAGCACATGCACGCACACACACACACATGCATGCACCCACATGCACATGCACGCACACATGCACGCACACGCACAAACATGCATGCACCCACATGCACACACACATGCACATGCACACACACATGCACACACACATGCACGCACCCACATGCACATGCACACACACGCACACACATGCACGCACACATGCACACACGCGCACACACAAGCATGCACCCACATGCACACACACGCACACACATGCATGCACACACATGTACATGCACGCACACACACATGCATGCACCCACATGCACATGCACGCACACACATGCATGCACCCACATGCACGCACACATGCACACACACGCACACACATGCACACACACGCACAAACATGCATGCACCCACATGCACATGCACGCATACACACATACAAACTAAATGAATAAATTACAATAAGTAAATAAACCGTGTCTAACAGCCTGAGTTAAATCCCTTTGTCCCACAAGGTGGCAGAAAAGATCTTTGGTCACTTGCCTGCCCTTGCACTTCTACACACACACACACACATACACACACACAAATGAAAGGAGTTGGGGATGTATGTAGAGTGCCTGCCTAGCATGCACGAATCCCCAGCACTATAAACTATAGGTTTGGTGGCATATGGCGGCACATTCTATAATCCCAGAGCAAGAAGTTGAAGGTCATTCTTGACTACGTAGCCAGTTCAAGGCCAGCCTGGGCTACCTGAAACTGTCTTTTTTTTTTTTAAAGTTCGAGGCCAGCCTGGTCTACAAGAGCTAGTTCCAGGACAGGAACCAAAACCCTGTCTCGAAAATTAAAAAAAAAAAAAAAAAAAAAAAAAAGAGGGTTGGAGAAGCCAGGCAGTGGTGATGTGCGCCTTTAATCCCAGCACTGTGGAGGCAGAAGCAGGCAGATCTCTGTGAGTTCAAGGCCAGCCTGGTGTACAGAATAAGTTCCAGGACAGCCAGGTCTACACAGAAAAACCCTATTTCAAAAAACAAACAAAACCAAACAAGCAGAATAGAGTGTTGGAAAAGGAGAGGATTCAGAAGGAAATAAGAGAGTTGGGAAGGAGAAAAGAGGCTGGAACTGGGAGAAGGGATAGTGGATAGGGAAAGGAAGGAAAGGAGACATATAAAATAGGGAAACTTTGTATGTGCATGTGTGCGGTGTGTACATGCATGCATGTGTGTGTGGTGGGTGCATGCATGTGTGTACATGTGTGTGATGTGTACATGCATGCGTGTGTGTATGTGTGTGTGGTGTTGACCTTTTACAGAGACCCTAGGCTGGTTTATCACAGAGCCCACTGTAGCTTTTCTTAACCTCTGCTCCTTGCCTCGGAAAGATAATCCCTGCAGACTTCTGTTTTCTCAACCTTGTATTTAGGAAAGGAGGCAAGAGACTGGACTGCAGCAGAAACCCAGGATGTTCCCAGACCTGCGCCCAGCTCCTGATCTATTCAGATTCGATTTGCTTGGCTTCTGTGT